GCCAGGGAGATCAAAGCAAACTGTTGATCTGCAAATTTAGCTCTTTAAAAAAAATTCCATGACATTTATTCTGCAATTACATCCTACTCAGGTTTAACAAAAGCCAATAAAATAGCTTTAAATGAAGTCCTTGAACCTGGTGTATGTCACTAACATTTACTAAATATTCAGGTTATAGAGTATAGTGCAGTGATAAGAAAACTAGAGTAAAGGTCAGGTTCTAATTCTAGTCCCAACTCTACTGCTTAAAAGTCATACATCCCTGGGTAAGTCATTTACCTTTTCTTAAACTAAGTTTCTTTACTTGTAAAAATGGGGATAACTACTGCCTGGCTTGCCTACCATTCAGGGTTGCTGTGAGTATCAAATGAGATTTAGATCATTTTACAAAAGCTTGAAACATTACACAAATAAATTCAACTATTAAGTACTAATATTTCCCCAAATTAATAAAGCCATATGTATTCCATACTCTTCAATGATTAAAGACCAAATTAATTAGAAAAATGTGAACCAAAAAAGGTAATATAAACTAGTATTGTAAAAATTGGATTGAACTAGGTGGCAGATAGACGCTGTGGTCCAGGCTCTACCACAACTTGTTCAGGTCTCTATACAATGAAATTACACTAGACCACCTTCGTAGATGTGCTTCTTGGATATATTTTCCATCACACAATGATGATTTAAAAGGGAATTCGTTCACCACTAGTTTCCTGGGCTATATTTTGCTTGAAAAAGTTTCACTGCTAGATATCGGAAAATCACTGGCTTAAAGTCTTTTATTTCTATTTTCAGGCATTTCATAACCCTAACCTAACCTAACTCATCTTTAGTTTGACATTCTATCCTTTCTCAACATAGACCTACATTTTGAGACCACAGTGCTCTACCTTCTATTTCTCAAAATGCCATGGCCAATCTCTGCCTGCACATTTCGTCAATCTATAGCTATTGCTCCTCCAACTGACTGAACAGTGCTGCCCTGTACTGTCCCACTCCCCACCCACACATTCACACACCCAAACTTGAGCAGTACTCAGTATCTTGGTGTATCTGTTTTCAAAAAGTTAAAATTTACAGTAGATCAGAAACAGGTAATGGTTGTCATATTAAAGAGAATCTGGCTTCTAGGCCAGTCAAGACTTGTCTATAATGTGATAGAATGTATGAAAACATTGAAAGAAAGAAGTAGGAAAAAAGTGGGAGGCTTTAGCCCTAGAGCATAGAACGGAAAGAGCACTTTAAAAGAGTCATCTGTGCATTACCTGGAGAAGGAACATCTTGAACCTCGGACTTGCTGGGTTCCAGTGGTAGGATAGTCCCATCATAGAAATGGGACTTTTACTTATTTACTTTTTACTTATTACCGGCCAATGCTGTTAAACATTTAAGCATGTATCTGAATCCCTGTGATCTGATTTCATGATTACTATAAATCTTCTTAGTCTTTGACTTCCCTTATGGTACGTCTAGCAAATACCCTGACTAGAGATAAATCCACTTATATTACATCTATACCCTAAATTAATAAAATTGCATTCTGAATTCAGACATCAGTTTCAGTTTCTTGAGGAGGGTCAATCCATCCTGAGACAAGACAAACTAACAAAGTCTGAAGGCATAAAAACTAAGGGTCAGATAAGGAACTACAGTAAATTAAACAACAGAATGCTACCGCACAGAAACTATGTGGGGTCCCCCAGACTGCCCCAATAAAAACCCTGTCTCATTGCATTATTTTCTTTTTAACACTTACATACACCTTTATTCAAGGCCACTAAACACATACTGAAGCTCTTCTATGACCTGGTCTCACATACCTTTCCAATAATTTCTATCTCTTACCCAAAGCTACAGCAGAAACAAATGTTCTAAGTACACCAAGTTTCTATCTCTGCTTGGAATAGCTCCTCTCTATGTTGGCAAGTCCAAATTTTAACTAATTCTGAGAGTTTAGCACAAATAATACTTTTTTTCGTAAAGACTTTTCTAAGTACACCACCCTACCACAGCTAAAACTAGCAATTTTAGTGATTTGGGCAAGCAGAGTCATTAAGAATCAGCCACATTTTATAGGTTCCTTTTTTTCACTAAAGAGATATTAATCAGGTAGTAAACTCAGTTTCTGTTCTAATAGACAATATTTGTTGTCAGCGTGTAATATAATAAATGCTGTAAGTTTGATCTATTATTTCACATTTCTGCACTCTAAATTTCAGTGCCCTGGGATATAGCCTAGGTTAACCACACTATCAATCCACAGTAAATACACCTTTTTTAACCAATTAAAAGTATTATTTCCCATATGAGAGGGATCAATTACTTCTTATTTTTATTAAATAATTATTAAAATTATTTAGATTTATTCCCCGGGCAAAGGCACTTACTACTTGCTCCCTTTGTGAGCTTTTGTTTCATTTTCCCTTCTATGTTCTCTGAAGATAGAATCCTTATCTATTTCATTTTTGTATCTTCCACAGGTTTTAGCTAGTATTTTTTTTTTTTTTTTTTAGCTAGTATTTTATATAGAAAGGGTACTTTAGGGGCGCCTGGGTGGCTCAGTGGGTTAAGCCTCTGCCTTCAGCTCAGGTCATGGTCTCAGGGTCCTGGGATCAAGGCCCGCATCGAGCCCCACTTTGGGCTCTCTGCTGGGTGGGGAGCCTGCTTCCCCCTCTCTCTCTGCCTGCCTCTTTGCCTACTTGTGATCTCTCTCTCTGTCAAATAAATAAATAAAATCTAAAAAAAAGAAAGAAAGAAAAGAAAGGGTACTTTAAATATAATTTAAGAATTTCTCTTCCATTTTCAGTGAAGGTTCCCCCTCAGTCTTTTTAAATGTATCCCATGTTATAAAGTCTTCCTTGATCATCACAGCCCACAGGTCACTCTTACTTTTGAATTCCTATAAGGACTGCCTATAAATGTTTAATTGCCACAAATATTGTCCCAGTGTTATTTTTTGTGTTTATATGAATTTTATAGTCTTTTCATATTTCCATATATCCCATATCTAGACACAGCATAGACAATTAATAAATATTATTTCATTCAAACAATCTTTAAAAAAATCAAAGACTCGTTAGGAAAAGCATAGTCAAAACTGACACCGAAAAAGAACAAAAGATCTCACCCATGGCAATGAAAACAAATTCCTATTGCTGGGATCAAAAGCTTTGACATACATAGTAGTTACTAGTAAATTAAATTGTGTTGGAATTCTACAAGTGTTTTCAAATTTCATGAGTCCTCTTTTCAGGGACACATAAGTGCTCAAAAACATTCATTTCCTGAAAATACCAATGAAAGCAGATGGCTTTAAACAAAAACAACTAACCTTATTAAACATATAAGATTATCATTCATTCGCAATTTGGTAAGGTTTCCATGCTGAAGACATTTATATAGTCAGTTTGTAGTACATTTGTTTTTACTGTATGCTAAGCATTAGCTCTTGTACTAAGCTATCCTCGGGCAAATGGCTTTAAAGTTACTTGCTTTTTACACATTCTTATGGTAATTAATGGGATATCACAAATTCTGCACACTTGACTTAAAAAAATATATGGTCAAATCCTATAAAGGAGTTATTTCTTTAATTTGATATTTGAACCACAACACTCTCGAGTCTTCCCACTCCAAGTGTGGTCCACAGACCAGCAGCATTGGTATCACCTGGGAGCTCACCGTTGAGGCAGAATCTCAGACCCTACCCCAGGCCTACTAAATGTGAATCTCCATTTTAGATCCCCAGGTGATCTGTAAGCACTTTAGGGTTTGAGAAGCACTGTTTTACACTCTAGAGGAAAAAAAGAATGTCGGAGATGCCTATGAACAAGCAACAGTAACTTATTATAATTGCTTATTTGTTGGTCTTATCTGCTAACTGAAGGCTTGTTGAGGTCAAACCCTTCTATTTCCTCACCAGTAGTATTCATCCCTAACAGGCTTGGAAAATATTGACCCAATGCTCAATAAATATTTTTTGCTAAATATATTAATGACTGAGCAAAGTGAAAATAAGACTTTTTCTGAAAGCAAATCCTTTAGAAAATTCTTGTGTACATGGTTTCACATACTGCCATACTAATTCCTTAATTCACTATTATTAATTCCATTTAAAATACATTGCCTTCTCTACTTCAACAAATGCATTTAATGCACTTGATAAAGCAAAAGCTTGGATCATGTTCTCCTGTTGGAGCCACCAACGGCCTCTTCTACAAGTAAGAGAGCTGAATTTTAATTCTGGCTTTCACAGATCCATCACATATGCCTGCACATGATGAAATCACACCAACAACTCCGAGGGGGTGGCAGGAGTAAAGGAGGAAAAGGAATGGGTAAAGCAAAAACACTTCCATATCGGGAACATCAAGTGAAACCATGAAAACATGATTCTTTGAACAGGATACTTCCAGAAAATAACTCCCGGCAAGAGAAATAAAGAGGCAAAGGAACGCTTACCTTTCTCAAGAGCAAAAGGTGATACTAGAGAATACCAGGGAGTGATAAAAAACCAGTGACTACCTACGACAGAAGGTGGAAACACACCAGACCAGAAGTAAAGCGGAGAGCGGTTAAGGATATCTAAAAAGGATACCAAAAACCACTTTCAGGTTTGCAGAGAAGGAAGTCAAGGGAGGAGAAAGGAAATAGCTCTATGAAGGGTTTAACTTACGATGATGATGATAATTATAATTATTTTTTATGAGAGAGAGACGACGTGCTGTTGAAGGGCAGGGAGTGGGTGAGAAAGGGAGACTGCAATCCCGCGCACTGCAAAAAGAAGAGAGACTACTGGCAGCCCTGCTCAGACGGTCCCGGGGAAGCGGCCCAAGCATAGGTGGGTGGCAACGCCCGGCTCCGCTGGTCCCCGCCCGGTGGTTTGAGCCATCTCCTCTGCAGCCTGGCGAGCACCGGGTGGGGACGGGAAAAGGCGGACTGCGTATGCGAGGGCATGCGGGAGGACAGGGCTGATGCCGGGCTGACCAGGTACCCACCTTATCCCAACGAAGCCACTGCCCGATGGCCGTGTCTAGCTGAGGATCCCCGGTGTGGTAGGGGGCGTGGAGCAGGTTGGAGTTCAGGTCCCCTTCTGCATTTTCAGCCATGGCAGCGAGACTGGGGTGTGAGGGCCTGGGGGGCCGCGAAGACACTGGGTTGGGGGGGCCTGAGATGAGCTCACCAGGGTTCTGACGCCCCCTCCTCACTGAAGGGCATCGGAGACCGACCAACCGCGGGGTGTCTGAGCCAGCTCCTGCTGCAGCTTTGGGGAAGCAGAAGAGAGGGGGATGCGGCTGCCCGCTCCCACCAAACCAGCTCCGGGTCTTTTTCTGCACGAACCGACTGAGGCGGTCGCACAGCGAGAGAACAACAACAGTCCCAGATGTCTGGGTCGTGGCCGCCGCAGCCGCCGCCACCGCCGCCGCCGCCGCCGCCCTACGCCCCGCCCCACCTCCCGCGCCACAGGCCCCGCCCCTTCCCGCCCCTGATGATTTAAGTCGCTGGGGCGTGAAGCCAGAGCCAGAGAGCGTGCTCGCGGTTCCTCTGCAGAAGTGCGAGCTTGGATCAGCGAGGGTGGTGAGGGGTTGGGTTGTTTTTTAATTTGCCTCTTGCCTCGCGTCTTATCCTTGTTACAGTCCCCACACACTCCCACTCGTCTCCTTTTCTCAATCATCGGCTGACGTATCCACCGCCAGCACCACACTTCAGCGATCACTCCGTGCACCCCTGGCGCGCGCGTAGGAACCCTCTCTCCCTCCCTTTTCAACTTGGGGCACGCGCTTGGCGGGAGGGTGCAAGGGACTGTTACCGCAGGGCTTCACGGGATTTGAAGTTCTTCTCTTTCTCTGAGCTCTGTGGAGACTGCCGGAAAGACTACAACACCCAGCAGCACCGCGCTCTCCCTTTTCTCAAAGGAAAAAGATATGCCTGCAGGCTGTTCCCTACGGACACGCCCTGTCCCTGCTTTGCTGCGCAGTGTGGCCATGGAATTAAATTAATTTAAACCAGGACTGATGCAGTAAGGGGACCACTGGTATCCACTTAATGCTTTAAAGTTTACGAATCGTGTTCTATCTCTTCAACCATCTTGTGAGGTAGGTGGGCGTGATCTACCCCTATTTACAAACGAGGAAAGTACATCAGAGAGTGAAGGGACTTTTTCAAAGAGGCAGAATTCAGAATTCAATTCTAATTCAATTCTAAGTGATAGAACCAGAGGGTGCCAACCTCGTTTAGATCTCGTCTGCTGGCAGTTCTTTTTGCTGCTGCAGTGAAGGAGGAGAGAGAAAAAGATGACAGAAAAAATAGACAGGGAAATTAAGGGGGGGAGTTGGGTCAACATTTAACCATAACACAAGCAACAGTGTACAAGCGTCAAAAGAGGGGGATACAAAGAGCAATGGCAATAAGCTTACGGAAGAAGAGAAGAGATCACTGAAGTCATCTTCAGTTTCTTCTTGCTTTGGCCTCTCTCCTCTGGAACGCTCACCTTGCAAAGTCACGCAACTTGAAGTCTGGGAGATGCGGAGAAAGGCTTTCCTGTCAGACACTCAGCAGCTGCTGATTTTCTTGCTTTGGCCTTCTTAAAATGGCTCTATGAATTTGGCCAAGTATCTTACAGCTCTTTCCCCAGTCAGCTGTTTTGTAAGGAGGGTGTAATAATATTTACACCAGGGGCATCTGGGTGACTCAGTTGGTTAAGCAACTGACTTCGGCTCAGGTCATGATCCTGGAATCCTGGGATCGAGTCCCACATAAGGCTCCCTGCTCGGCGGGGAGTCTGCTTCTCCCTCTGACCTCTCTCCTCTCTTGGTCCCTCTCTCTCTCTCAAATAAATAAATAAAATCTTTTCAAAAAAAAATATTTACACCATGGCTATACAGGAACTTAATAAATGGCTTTAGAGGGCTTTCAGGTTCACAGATAAAAGACGTAATAAATTCAAAGTATTACTTTATTTCCTTTAACAAGCCATTTACCATAATAAAATCCAAGCTACCAAAGTACAAAAGGATCATAGTGCCAATTCCTGAAAATAAACGTGCCACAGTCGGCATTTACAATCTTCGCTAAGCAGTTGGGTGGTTTCCTTTATGGAATCAGCAAATTCTTTTAATCATACAAGGCTTGGGAAACAGCCACGTGTCCTGAAAAGAAATTAATCGTTCACTATCATCACGATTATTGTCCATGACAAATGTTGATTCAATATTTACTCTGTGCCAAGCATTATGCTAGGAGCTGAGGCTATAAGAAAGTATATAACAAAACTGTTCATTTCAAAAAATGAAATGTGCCTGGGGAGACAGGATATATGTGAGAAAAGATTGCCGATGATAAACAGCAAATGCTTCCTGCAGACGACTGTTAAAGAATTCAGTCTGAGGTGGTCAATAGAAGCAACAAGCAGCAGGAGCAACAAGCACTAGGCTTTGAAGGACAAAAAAATTAATAAGTAGAGAAAAAGGTAGAGGGCGTTTCAAACCCATAAACCATTGGTTCTCAAATCTACCTAGGAGTTCGTTTAAAATGTGTATTCCTGGTCACTGCCCCAGAGATTCCAAATCAGTACATTGGGATAGGGCCTAGGTCCCAACATATTTAACAAATATCTATTGATTGTGGTATAAGTGGCCATAACCTTGCTATAAGTCCTCTTATATGGTTTTCTGGAAAATACAAAAATTTCAAGCCCCTTCCCAATGCTACTGAGTCAGAATCTATATATTTTTTTTTTAAAGATTATTTATTTATTTATTTGACAGAGAGAGAGAGAGAGAGAGAGATCACAAGTAGGCAGAGAGGCAGGCAGAGAGAGAGGGGGAAGCAGGCTCCCCGCTGAGCAGAGAGCCCGATGCGGGGCTCGATCCCAGGACCCTGAGATCATGACCTGAGCTGAAGGCAGAGGCTCAACCCACTGAGCCACCCAGGTGGCCCCCAGAATCTATATTTTAACAAGATCCAATGATAATTCTACACTTACTAAATTTGATAAGCAGTGGTTTTTATAAGACAATTCTTAAATTTAATTCAATTCTGAGAAACACTTGGAAATCAACAGAATTTCCAAGAGTTGGAATTATATAAGGCAATTATAAAAGACTGGAGAAATATAACTTTTAATTCAATACCAGAGTCAACCAGCCCTTAATTTTATCAACAAGATTATGACATACAATGTTTACTAGAAACCTTGCCCAGCATCTTTGGCTTATTGCTTAAGAATTGAGGGGTGACCAAAGAGACCCAGAACTCGTTAAATCAAAGAATAGTATGTAAATGTGTCCAGAAGAGGGAGTATAATAGTTTTCCTAGTTAGGGAAAGTTCAGAAGCTTTAATTTCTTTTCTTTCTTTCTTTCTTTCTTTTTTTTTTTTTTCAAGATTTTACTTATTTATTCAACAGATCACAAGTAGGCAGAGCAGCAGGTGGGGCGGGGGCGGGAGGGTGGGGGGGAGGTGGAGCAGGCTCCCTGCTCAGCGGAGAGCCTGATTCGGCGCTCAATCCCAGGACCCTCGGATCATGACGTGAGCTGAAGGCAGAGGCTTAACCCACTGAGCCACCCAGGTGCCCCTCAGAAGCTTAAATTTCTGGTCGAATTTGCCCAGAGTTCTTTTTTTTTAAGTTTTTATTTAAAAAAAAAAAAGGTTTTATTTAAATTTCAGTTATTTAACATACAGTATAATATTAGGTTCAGGTATGGGACACCTGGGTGGCCCGGCGGATAAGCCGCTGCCTGCGCCTCAAGTCATGGTCCCAGAGTCCTGGGATCGAGTCCCACATTGGACTTCTTGTCCAGCAAGGAGCCTGCTTCTCTCTCTGCCTCTGCCTGCCACTCTGCCTGCTTGTGCTCTCTCTCTCTGACAAATAAATAAAATAAAATCTTAAAAAAATATATTAGTTTCAGGTATACAGCATAGTGACTCAACACTTCCATGTATCACCCCCTGATAAACCTAAGTGCACTCCTTAATCCCCATCATCTATTTCACCCATCCCCCCACCCACCTCCCTTCTGGTTCTTTATAGTTAAGAATCTGTTTCTTGGTTTACCTCTCTCTCTCTTTTCTTCTTTTGGTCATTTGTTTTGTTTCTTAAATTCCACATATCAGTGAAATCATATGGTATTTGTCTATCTCTGATTGACTTCACTTAGCATAATAATCTGTAGCTCCATCCATGTTGTTGCAAGTGGAAAGATTTCATTCTTTTTGATGGGAATTTGCCCAAGGTTTTCTAAATCTGGCAACCCTAACTGTGGTTATGAAAGAAAATATCTCTCTTGGTCCTAATACATATACATGACTGAATATTTTAGGATCATGATACATAACTTACCCTCAAATGGTTCAGAAAAAAAAATACCGTGTATGTATATATGTGCACACACAAATATATGTTACATATACACATATATAAATATATATACAAACATATAATTAGATAAATAGAAAATAATCAAATGGGGGAAATTTTAATAATGGGGAATCTGGGTAAAAGATAGTTGGATAATCTTTGTTCTATTTTAATTTTTGCAAATTCATTTGAAATTATTTCCAAATTTAAAAATTTAAAAGAAAAACCTCAAGTGTATAAGAAATACCCATTTACTTATTGTTTTAAAAAATCAAATTAAGAGACTCAAAGCTCTCATTCTGTCAGGGTAGCAAGAAATTGTATTTTCATCAATATTAGGGGGCTCCCTTCTCATCCAGGGCTTATATAATACCAGGGAAACAGAGTCGATAGCTCTATTTTATCAAGGTTTCTGCTAACATTTGTATTGTCTAGGGTCATAGTGGTCTTTGGAAGTCTGACAGCTTTCTCCTTGCATACCATTCATAAGCTGTTGTCAGGAACCTTGGTTAAGGCTATGAACCCCAAAGCCTCTGTCTAGGTATACCATATAGACATCCCCCCAAAAATCTTGTCAATTCCTTGAAGAATTGCCACCAAGCAATCTTTGGGGACTCTCTTGCTCTCTCATCACTCTGATATTTTAAGACTTTAAGTCTTGAGGAAATCTATCATTCTGCTGTGTGATTTCTCTGAAAAGATAAGTATTTTCTTGTTGCTCATCATCAAGATACTTGACCTAAACTCTAGTGAACTCTGTATTTTTTTTTTTTAAAAATAGAGTCAATAAAGGAAGTATCTTGTAAACAATTTTCTATGTTCTACTTTTAGCCCTATTACATAAAATTCCAAAGGAACACAACAACAACAAATAAGAAGTGGTTATCTCTCTGTAAGGTAGGGGGAAGAATGCAGAGCACACTTGGGATTAGGGTGAAGCAAGGCAAAGAACGTAGGGTACAAAATCTAAGGAGACATCCCTTTCAGGTTTGTGGAAGTGCAGAATTGGTGCCTGAGAGTGAGTGCCTTATTACATTTTTTA